AAGTATGATCCATGCACAAGTGGCATTTGTGTGTATAGCAAATAGTGATTAAGGGGTAAAAAGTGAAAAAATGATAATGGAAGAGAGAAGAAAATGGAAGGAAAAGGGGAAAGACAGCAAATAAATAGGTGCAATGCCGACCATTTATCTCTTTCCTGAAAGCGGCAGTGCCTTTTCCCGATGATGCACATGGATCCGCAATGCATGTCCCTCGTTTTCCCGTTTCCCACCGCTGTCAAATATGGAACAAATCCTCACATGGAATCCAAAAGGCCCATCATCAGGTTATAAGACCAATTCATTTTAAGCCGACATAGCCGTTCTTCCAAGTGTTTGATCCTTCACACGCAAAATCGGATTTACATTGCCAGGAATGGGTTCTCTGCATAAAGCAATTATGGTGACACAAGAATCGGGAGAACAAAACCGTCCGATCCACAAATCAGGAACAAAGGAAGAAAAGAGGCGGATCTATTTACTGATATCCCGCTTTGCTGCTAAGATAAGACCCGCTTTGACCCTTTTGGTCATTCGGATGCTGTTTGACATTGATAGATCATAAAACAATAATGTGGACTACCATGGGGATAACGTGAACACCTTTGACGTAGTTGATTATACGATGAAAAAAATCACGCCAGCTGACTTTTTTTTAGCCGACATCCCTTTACTCATCTCATCTTTTCTCCTTGCGCATGCAACAACTATCGCCACGTGCATTAGTGATCACCCCACAAGAGTTGTCGCCAATAATGATGAATATCAAGAAGCATCCCCATGCTATGATGGATACATTATCTGCCAACAATCACATTTCCCAACTGCTGACAATGCGGTAAATGAATCAAGTATCAATGCAAGACAATAAACCTTTCGAGAAAAATCATTCCACTTGTCAACAATAGATCGCACAAGTGTTACATGATCAAAACTCAGAGTTTGTGGACCGTCGGTAATCTATGGCCAATTGCTCACGCCATGCATTATTTTTTCACGCCATGCATTATTTTTTCAAGATGATCGTCGTGCATTGATCTCACATCACAAAGAATTGTGAGAAAGTCTAGATTGACTATTGGATCACATGTTCTTGTTGCATAATGTATTGTATTGATTCCACAACCCCCAAGAGAATTGAGAGAAAGTCTAGATAGACTATTGGGTCACATGCTCTTGTTGCATATGGTATGTATTCCTCTTCATTATTCTAATCCTGAACATTATGTTTATATATAGAGGGTATCTTCATTTATTCCAAGGAAGTTGAAAGAGAGCAACAACAGGGTTATAATTATTCATTAATCATTGTCTGGTATATTGTAGGTTCTAAATTCCGCCTCTACCCAGCTCCTATCGATCCGACAAGTTTGTGCCATACTTGCTAATGACCAATCATTCTTCGTCAACTTGCTCTTTGCATGCATGGTTGTACTTGTGCTATTTTGGATAGGGGATAATCCGGCATAACAAGATGCATAATGGCGTTATTGCATGATGATAGACCCATAATGCAGCTTGTCACTTGATGTGGTGGTGGTAGTGATAGTGATGGAAACTGCAGTCAAGCTGGTGGTATCATGGATCAAGGTTACCAGCAATGAATATGCGAACAGAATGAGGAGAGGCATGACTTGTAGTAGAATTCCCCATCGTTGTACATGAAGTGGTCGTTGTTCTCTTCCCTTATTGTTATGGCTGCTGTAGTAAGTATGTGGTGTAAACCCAGGACCAACAAATGTTGCACTGCTAAAGCCTGGATCATCCAAACCATCTTGACCAAAGAATGCGTTGTACAAATCCTCTGGTGAAATATCGTTGCCTTGTTTGTACGATCGGAAAAATGGTGAAGTGTGTTTTGCATATTCATGCCCACATGCATTATAGTTCGCACGTTGTTCTGGATCAGATAGCACTGTGAATGCTTTGGAGATCACTTGTTATGATAGAGAGTATAATGTTAATAGCATTGATCTTTTCGACAATATCATACATTAAAACTTACGCTTAAATGCTTCATCTGCACCTGGTGCCTTGTTTTTATCGGGATGATACTGTAATGCAAGCTTCATTGATGGGATTAGTGATATGCCTATAGTCTACCAAAACTATCAACAACTTACCTTTCGATATGCTTTCTTGATTTGAATGGATGTGCAATGGCGATCAACTGACAGCACATCATAATAATTATCACGCTTTTCGAGAATGTCGTTCACTGACGCTATGTGTGCTGTCGTTCCTGATGTATGCTGCTGTTGTTGTTGTTGCTCGCATGCATGGTTATCCTTGTCACTCGTGTGTGAATTGATAGTTTCTTGTATACAACCGAGAGTGCTCGCGATCCGGTGTTGAAAGTCGTGCTCAAGATCCCCGATCGACGAATGACATTGGGATCCTTTAAGGTTACTTCTTGCTGAATGCATTTGCTTATTAGTCTTTAGGCTTGAAAGAGAAAGTTGTTGTTATTATGTATGGATAGTGAAGAGGAAATTCGGTAGTGATTTGGGGAAAGATGAAATAATGGCATGTGAAGTAGTTATAAGATTATCATATGTCAGTTAATGGCCAATTTATTGTTTACATAATCCATCACACCACAAGTATCGATGAGATCACAGTAAGCTATATTGAATTGCCGTAGACTTTTGGATCTATCTACCATATTATGTATGCCTTGACGTGTCAATCCTTTGCAGCACACCAATTTGAGCGTATTCAAACATCGCATATCTCCCCATGCTGCAAGAACTGATTCCGATAACATGCATGACATATTGTGCAACTCCAATTTCCTCAATGATATAGCATTCTTGGCGAATCGACATAATCCTTGTTGGGTCACCTTTGATCCTGATTGAACAAGTAGCAATTCACGTAATCCTTCCATAGTCGCCAATGCATCCAATTCATCATCTGTCATATCACGACCCCAATAACGTAATACAAGTGATTCGATACTCCGTAATGATTGAAGAAAACTACTTCGATTCATGCTGTTACTAAACCGCCCCAAGTCAAGTCGTTTAAGATTGGGTAGCTCGCGTAGTGCTGTTTCAGGAGGTGACTGCATTGGTTCAGCTGTCCACAATGTCACATCTTCCAAAGCTGGGCATTGGTGAATCAAAGTTTCGAGTACTGTGGATGGAATAGTAATATATTTGAGAGAAAGTGTGCGAAGTTTTGGTGCATGGATCCAAGCAATATTCGACCAATCTGATCGACTCATGTTACCAGCACCAAGTGCACCGCCCAGACATAACAATAATAATGTGTGCTGATGCTTCATCACCATTGGTAGAATATCTGATGCTGTATAACCGGTAGCTTCACGTGTAATCAATTGTTGTAACCCATTTGATCCATTCTTATCGAAACCATGTTCAATCACATCATGAGCTTGCTGTTCCCATGAATTGCACTCCAGAAAGGTAAGCTCAGGGCAGCATTGCGAGAATAAATCGAGATCAATTGTTGCACTGCTTGGGAGTTGATAGGCATCGGTATCAGGTGCAATGTTACCCACTGCCAAGTACTTCAAATGAGGACACCGTTTAAGTATCGGTGTGAGACGCTTGTGTTTTTCCATAATAACATCCAATCGTAGGTGCAAGAGTCGATCAAATAGGAGATTGTCAGGCAACGGTTGGTATAGCAACGGTTCATTGTTATAAATCTCAGCATTGGCTTCCATGGATGATAACGTAAAGTGCGTGAGATTAGGACATAAAGCTAGGATATGTATGATTGCCATGTTGTCACTGTGCCTGGTAAAGGTAAGCTTGTGTAGACAACTGGTGAGCGGTGCTAGAATCTGCATAAAATGCCTTTGGTCTGGTAAGCGACAATGATTAAAGCCTAATGACAATGAACTCAGTATCATACAAGAACGAGCCAATGCTATTAATTACCAAGTGTCTGGAGATTTTTACAGCCTTGTTGGACAAGCATATGAAGAATGGCACATGTTTGACTCTCATTCGCCCAAGAGATTTGACAATGCTGCACATGGGGTCCAAGACATTCCTTGAACCGCTCATCTTGTTGGTCACCGGAAATATCAACTTGACGCCACACAAACGTTGCATACAATGGTATAAGTTTATACCAAGTTCTTGATACTGCCATACATTCCAAGCAATCGGTTTGGTTGAGACACGCGAATATACGCTCAGTTATATCATACGGCAATCTTTCAATCAACTGCAATGGACTCATTGTCATAAAGGATAAAGAAATGCAAGATCATCTTTATCTGATTCCCACAAAGCCGCTCCAAAAATACATTCATCACACAAATCCCATGTAACCTTTCACACATCAGCTCACAGCAGATGTATCTTATTCTCATCCTTATCATTAATACCAGACTCTATATATAAATAACAGATATCATAAATTGTGATGACAGTGTGATTGTTGTGCAATAACCATAAATGCATGTATGATATCATCATATGGCAGTAATATATCGGGGGATATAAGGGACAGTGGAATTGCGAAAGAGAAATAAATGGGAAACTCAATGCCAATGCTCAACGCCATCGGCTTCGATATGCATATAAAATGACAGAATGAATGACGAATGGAGCCGCTTTATTCCATATTATTCGAATAGAAAGTAGTTTGTTCTGGATTAATCGCGTACCTTGTTCGTTCGTTTTAGTTTACTCCAGCTTGTCAAACATTATTCTCACTCTGGTTTACTTGAGCAAATCAAATAAATGCCCATCCCTAGTAATATTATATATGCATATATTATAACACCCAATGACGTGATGGTAATAATGCGATGCTATTATAAAACATATATTACATGTCATATGCATTGAACTATTAAAAAAGAAGGTGGAAAGCTTAAAACATCATTATACAAGTCGCTTAAGGAAATGTGTCACCCCACGTGATCGTCGGGCCGAGCTTTCGCGTGTTCTTATTGGCTAATTCTTCCTTTGGAAATTTTTGCTATCATCATATTATTTCTTTAAAAACTTTCAACAGGAGCGTCCATAGTCTAGCGGTTATGACGTTTGCTTTACACGCAAAAGGTCCTCGGTTCGATCCCGAGTGGACGCACAAGAATAACATCCGATCATCGGTTGTTCAATTCCTTTTGTCAAGTTTTCGAAATTTTTGTGGATCACGTGATGATTTTCATTTTTCCTGCGTCAATACATAAGTTGAATCATCTACATGTTGGAGCTGTACGTTAACATTATAATCCGGTCACGATCGAGATTTTAGCTTTTAGTGTGTGTTTGTAAGACAAGCTTGCACTTATCGTCAGTTGTTATATTGCATGAAGAGCACATTGTGCACATCCATCATTCAAATACTCTCCTCGTCCACCACCATTATCGCATGTGATTATATACTCCGTTGGTTTTCTCAAGAGAATCATAAATAATGTCAAGTCCCACTTATTCTTCTTTGATCTCGATATCACATCATGCATACCACTCAGATACAATAATAATAATTATAATCATTCACATGACATTTTCAAGTTGAAGTATCATAGCTCACAGGATACACATACACGCCACTTTTACAAGTTAACGATGTCTCAACCAACATGCCATTATGTACTGGATATAGAGCATTCAACAATGTTCTATTGTATCATTTTATATGGCACAAAGAGAGCTCATGCTCAGACATATATGTGGGTATGTGACATCCTATTTTGGCTGCTTGATGTGAATAATGTCTATTCTATAAAGACTGAGACGTCCAAGTATTTAATACTGGGATTCATTGGCTAATTCAGGTTTAATGGATAACAGAGTATGCTATTAGGTGCCTTGACCTTGCTTAAACATGTAGGGATAACTCTGGACTAGAATTGAGAGCATGCATGATTGTGTGTATAGTAGTAGTAGGTCAACATATATTTGTCCGTTTCCTTGTATCAACACACACGAATGCCTGTATCACATTTGCTTTATTTTCTCATACGTGCTAGTTTCTTTAACAAGTTGATTTTTGCAACATGGGAAAGACTACAACGATTTGGGTTAGACCACCATCATCTCAGCATATCATGTCTTGGAGTATTCATCAATGAAAAAGTGTGATAAACTCAAATGAGTAAAAAGATAAACAATTGAATGTATGATAAAAGAGCTGTTATAGAGCATGTGGCCAAATAAACTTGAGAAAGTAAAAAGATGAAAGGGAGTTGAGGAAGAGGGAGGGGTTGGCTACGTCATTACCTCGCCATGCCGGAATTTCTCTTTTTGCTCAAGCTATCGTTCTTATCCTCCTCTCACTTTTTGGCTCCTTCATTGTACTTGCACCAGAATCTTGCATTTGGATTCCCTGGGGGTGCGACAAGATCAATCAACCTCTTTCGGTTATTACACTTTCTCCTGCATCACGCTCTTGTTTTTCTTTCAACAATTCTCTCCCTCCCCCTTTTCTTCACACGAACGATAACCGCCTTGTTCATCGCCGACCTCCTACACCACACATCCGCTTGTACATAATGTCAGAGCATCCCAATCCAATATCGACAACACAACAATCTCTTTCTCTACCAGAACACATTGGAAAACGCGTCGATCCAGCATATTCGAGTGTATTACACGCACGAGTAAAAGAAATATTACACATACACCACGACAGGTACCTACACGCTGATATATTTTACACCATAATACTCATATGCTTCCGTTCGCGTATTTCAGTTTTCCAGGAACCCAACCTGTCAGTTTTGAGACAAAGCATCTTTCAGAGCTGGAGCGTGAAGATTACTTTGTATGTGAAAAGACGGATGGTATTCGATATCTGCTATTCTTTGTTCATTCACCAAAGGGGCCGGCTTCATTCTTGGTAAGTATGGGATATAGTAGGGTTAAAAGTGATATATGTATAGGTCATCTCATTTGATATGTGTTTTCAAGTTTGATCGCAACAAAGTATGGTATTATGTACCCAATCTCCTATTCCCCGTCCGAAGCCGAGAAAAGGAATATCTCAAGGATACATTGATGGATGGTGAATTGGTCATGGAAGAGGATTCACATGATAAGGTATTTTTGTTTAGGAGAGATTTATAATCGTTTCTAATACCGTGTACCTAGAAGACATGGCGTTTTCTTCTTTTCGATCTGATGGCCATAAATGGGACGCCAGTGACCAAGCGATCCTTCAATACACGGTTGGGTGTATGTATATCATCATTATATCGAAGCTTGTATACTAACAATATATAATATAGGTATTGCGTCAAGAAGTGATTGCACCTTTCAACAACAGTTTACGACATATCACTGATCCCAGCAAAATGCCGCCATTCACGTAAGTCTTGTCAACACAGAAAGCAACATATACTGATGCACATACGCAATACAGAATAGAGTTAAAGAAGATGGAGCGATCATATGGGTTACACCTCGTTTTCGAACAAATGTCCAAGCTAAAGCATTGCACTGATGGGGTGATATGGACACCTGTGAAGTATCCATACATGGCAGGAACGAGTGAAAAACTGTAAGTTTAGGATGTTGGTCATTATATATGTATGAAGTATCATTAACGAGGAATGGAAAGGTTGAAGTGGAAACCACCAGAGCAAAATACTGTGGATTTCAGGATATCCGTACGATGGAGTAAAGAGCACAAGCCCATATATTCATTGGAAGTCTTATCTCATGGGGTGACCTATAAGTTCTTTGATCATTTCCAGCCAGAGTCAAGCCTTGCAGGAGAGTAAGTATTCCGAAAAGGACTTTGGAGTAGTGATTGATTAACATGGTATTGTAGATGGAAAGGACATCCACCAGATGGGCGTATTGCAGAATTCAGGTAATGATATTGCACATTATATCACTATGCTCTGTATAACTCATTTTAATATCGCATTTCACTATAGATTTGATCCTGATTGGGAAGTTACCATAGTCGAACAAGGTTATGCACCCACTACTCGAAAAGGAGGATGGCGGTAAGAATCACGTGATTACAATGCAGATGGTTATATTAACGAGAGGTTATGATGATAGGTTTGTTCGATTTCGGACGGATAAAAGTACAGCAAATGACGAAGGAGTGGTGAAGAAGATACTGAACAGCATTCGAGATGGTATCACACGTGATCAGTTATTAGCTCATATGGATCGAGTGCGTAGTGCATGGAAAGCTCGAGAGAAAGGATTACCACCACCTCCACACAAGCCTGAAGCTTTATCATTATCGACAACGTCAATGAAAACGAATCAGCCACTTGCTACACCTACATCTTCGATATTACCATCACCGTCAGTTACCAATTCATCAGGTTATTTCCCAGAACGATCCAACTCAATCAGCAGTACATCAGTATTGGATAGGCGACGATCTGAAGCAGATGTTCGTTCAAAATCTTCTCAGAATGCTACTTCTACTTCAGCACCAGCACCAGCACCTTCCACTTCAATTCAAGTCAACGATAGCAATGGACGAAAAGCATCTGTAGATAGTGGAATGGCGAATAAACGTGAAGCGAGCCCAAAAGTATCAGCAATGGAAAGGAAACGCTTCAAATCATGGGCTGGAGAGGAGTCATTAGAGCGGATAGATGAGCATCAACAACAATCATCATCGTCATCACCGCCATCACCTCACAAATCCCCACGACATCATTCACCAAAGTATGAGCAGCAGCAGAAACATACTGAGATGCATCAAGCAGCGCAGGCCGCTGGGGAAAGGAATGGAACAACTCACAAGAAAAAGTTCAAATCACCATCACCACCATCATCATCACCAACACCACCACCACCATCCACGACTAGTAGCAATATACAACCATCGAGAACTTCATCCATTCACAGTCTATTAACAACATCAGTCGATCCTGTCATACAGCAACAACCACCTTCATCCAACTTATCTCCATCACCGGTCACCACATCTGCAAATCCTTCCACTACTATCATTGCATCACCCCCTCCTACTAAACGACGTGCCTTTGATCTCGCTACTATATTGCATGATGATAATCATCGAAAAGTACCCAGTGAACAACAAAAAATGGTTCAATTCATCAACTATCATGCGGATGGAATGCATATCCAAGCAACATCATCACCAAGGAACGATAGTAATGAATGGACTTCATCACTAGCACCATCCACTTTGCAATATCATCAACAATCTGCGATTTCAACCACAGCAGTGCCTGCTTATCACCACCAGCTACACCAGCAACATACTTCTTCTCCTATGGAACCCGGTGGTCGACAGCTTAGTGTATGGAAAGTACCACAACAGCAACCACCACCACCATCATCATCATCACCGGCATCATCATCTTCAGATCAGAAACAAAAACGTAGTAGCAAGGCCATGTTGGATTTTATTCTAAATTGATATCATGTATTATCTATGTCGCCATTGCATCTGCTTTGTATATTCGTAAATACAAATTGCTCCACTGACGTGAACATTCAATGATCGTGTAATGCCTTGTTGTGGGATTTCTACTGTGCTATCAAGCATTTGTAATAAATTGGCTGGAATGCCTTGACGCTCTTTGCCCAACAGGAGCACACATCGTTCAGGAAACTCAAACTCGCCTAGCATTGTGCTCGTTGTCGTTTGTTCCAATCCACATAGATGGTAGCCTTGTTTCTTCTTCTCTTCAAGGAATTCGGGAACGTCAGCTTCCGAGACTTCTTTCATTGGCATCCATCGCTAGAATAAATTCATTAGTTTCAGTGATACATTTATCAGCTATATTTTTGTCCTTACCTCCGATGCAACGCTGATATTGACAAAGTATGGATCATCCTTGACCTATGAGCACTTTTAGTAAAGCCATATACATACATCAATAAATCACATGACTTGCCTTGATATTGGGAACCACTAATTCTGACGCATTAAAGATTTCACATGTCCTGCACAATCCTGCAAGATTAGGGACTCTATCGACGAGACTGGCCACGACAATCAGATCATTTCTTCGTCGCTGTTGATTATTAGTCATTGTCAGAAAGATAATGAGATCACTGCATTCATTATACCTTCTTTTGAATAAAGGCTTTTGAGAGATCCATATCAGTCTCAAGCATCATATCCCATGGCATAAT